AAATATTAAAAATTATAAATTTATAAACAGAAACTGTAAAATGTACTGTACTTCTTAATAAAAATCCAAATTTTAATACCAAATGTACAAATATTCCAAAAAAATATATTTTTTTAATAATTTGTGTCATTTGTATATGAGCAAATCAAAATAATTGGCACATTCAATGCTTGTGGGTTGAAAAATTCGATTTCTTTCAGTTGTTACAACAATAACAACAACAAACAAGTATAAATAACAAACAGCGCGGAAGTTAGGCAAATAAAAATTAATAATTTGATCCGCAGCACAAGTAATGACACAGCCAAACCATATACAAAGTGCATATACATATACACATACATACATGCATATGCCTACATATATGTACATATATCTTATGTACCGATGCACAGCCACACAAATTTTGTTTGACAAATAGTGACCACACACGCTCCGCGCACACCTCCGCCTACGTACACACATATGTACAATATTTGCAATACATATTTACTTAAGGCAAATACGCGCACACTTTATATACAAAATATTGCTTAAGCACATACCGACAACCAAAAAAACCTAAAAACAAAAAAAAAAAAAAAAAAAAAAAATTAAAAGCGTGCATATGTATGTTTGCACCTGGATGACACATACTTGGCTTGGCTTAATTGTATAATTGTTGTTTTCATTGTATTTGTTGTTTTTGGGTAATGTTTTCACGGTTGTTATTAAAGGCCTGATCGCTCCGTTCGAAGACGAAGTAAACAAAATAAAGTTGTCACATTCAAAAGCACCAAAAAGAAGGTGAAGAAGTTTACTAAAGCGAAAGATAAAGAAAAGCGCATATACATAAATACATATATACGAGAATAAATATACTTTAGATAACGATCGAGTGCTGCAAAATAGAAATAATGAAGAGTTAAAAGGCTAAACGAAGATAACACCAAGTACAGCGAGCGGAAAAAGCTTGTTCAAGCAAACAAACCCGCAGAGAGAGACAGTCCGATTGGGCTGAAGGGTATTACAGGTAAGTGCAAAATTGAACTTCGCAAGAAAATTTCACGAAACAACAGCAACAACAGTAAGGTCAGTGAATGCACAGTAAATAACCGTGGCAGCCAGTTCTGAAAGGCGTGAGAAAGGCGCTACGATAGTTTTGATAAACTATTTTGGGATATGAAATAAGTTTATCAAAATTTGACATAATAACTGTGATCAAATTGAAATTTTTAATTCATACTCCGCGTGTTCTTCGAATCGGTAATTTTTTTTTCTGTAAGTTGGTAGTACTTTTAGTGACATCTATGCTAAATATCACGTCAAAATATTCATTAGTATTTCAGATACAATTGAAGATATAAAAGCTGAATGGAAGAAGAATTTTTCCAAATGCTATGATGACTGGAAAATTCGTAAATTCGTGGGCATAAGCGTATAACATGGACAATATTCATAATATTCACCCTTCAATGTGATCACTTCATTCTGAGAAAAATTGTCCTCGTTAGTAATCTATACCAAATTTTCTTAAGATATCTTGTCAAAAAAAAAACAAAAAAAAAACAAGAAAAAAATTTTAAATTTTCAAAAATCAATGATATAGTTCTGTCTCTTATACACATCTAGATGTGTATAAGAGACAGGTGTATAATTTAAAAAATTAAATTGATTTTATAACAATTTTTTTTTTACTTTTAAATCTAATCAAAATTAAATTCAACTCATATTTATTGATGTCTATACTTCAAGAGATTAGCCCAAAATTTAAATACATTTTTAAAATTATTCGAAAAGAAATTAAATTTAAATTTATTAATAAAAATCATCATTAATAAAAATCATTAAAAAAAATTAGAACAGTTTCAAAAATAAG